ATATAAACTGGTGATTTTAGGTTCCATGGAAAGAATACCACTACACATTTTTATAAATCTACTCACTTCACATGGCGCAAATGAAACATTCTAAAATGAACTTCTTTCAAGGAGGTAATTAAATAAGCAATTTCACGAAGCAGTATCAAGCAAATCTATTGCAAGTTTATCGTATAATCATGAGCTGACTCATAGGCTATGTTTCCATCTCCAGGCAGGAAGCTGACCTAGTCAAGTAGGTCAAGATCCCTTTGCCATATGAAGCAGACTGTCTTCACCCACTGCAAGACCTGGTTTATTTAGGCTTCACAATCTTTCTCAAACTTTTCTGAACAGTCTGCTCAGCTCTGCAAACAGCTCAAAATAGGCAGCAGCTTTGTGCTCAGAAAACAACAGCTTTTTTTAAAGGTTATGCTGTTCTCTAATTTGATCACCTCCTACCAAAATGATACTGTGTCCAACTCCTGCTTGACAATTAGGTGTGTAATCTGAAGCAAATCTTCTCTGTGCCACAGGTATTTATTTGTATATTAGATTAGAAAAATGTGTGTTTTTTGTTAGAAAAGTGCTAAAGCCTTTTGTAACTCTAAAGATCCTATGATTCCATGACCAGCCTGATGATCAACATTGATAAACAGCCATCACACCTATAAATTATGTCATCAGTTAGCTCAGTGCTGAACTTGAGTATGTTTAAAGAGCAGCTGGATAAAGCTAAACCTATAAAAATGGTTTTTGATATAAACCTATAAAACCATCAGCCAATTACATTGGCCTTCAAACTTACTGCTCACCTTCCCCCAGCCCCAGAGGAGGCTGAGTTGTTGAGATGCCACTCTTAAAGCTGCATTCTCATACCCCCTGTTCTGGGAAAGAAACCCAAGCCCAGCTTACTATTTCTAGGAAGCCTCTTTCTAATCTAGCCCAATCCAGCTGATTCTGCCCGAGGCTGGTTGCTGTATGCTCTATTCCAACCATGGCCTGGACATACTTTCACAGCTGAAGGTCAAAGGCCATTCTTCCCAGCACAAGAGCAAACACCCTGCAGATGACAAAGACTGAAAAAAAGTGTAAGAGAAAGAATAGCAACACAACTGGAAAGGATTAGATTGCGGCTTACAAAGTTGGAATGCAGATTTTGAAGGGAAAAATGGAAAATTTCCAGCTTTCTACACTTGAACTCAAACCCCCTACAGTGTCAGCAAATCAGGAACTTAAACTGTCATAAGAAATATAATGGGTTTTAAAGAAAGCTGGTACCACTTACCACAGAGAAAGCACTGCATGCAGGCTGTCAATTCCTTAAAAGGGGTGTGGCTATAGAGTCACAAAATTAAGATGCATGAAACTTTCACATGAGGCTTTGGACCAGAGCACTACCATCAGGTAAAAAAATAGCATAAACCAAATTGCATCACCATCTGTGCCCAGCACACTTAGAGGAACTGCCTTATGACCCAAAGTAGATAAGCTAGAACTTTAGAGAGCAAGGATCTAAGACCTCAGAAGAGAAACAGACTTATTACAGTGACTAAATGTAAATGACTCCTCCATTCAGGTTGGGTGCTAAAATACTTAAAACCTGAGCTGAGGTTAGAGATTCTCCAGCAAAAGCCAAAAATAAAAATTGGGGAATCCCGAGGTTCTATCATCTCTCATGTCTTCCAGAGCTTCATGGTGGAATACGTCCGAAGATGAGTCAACTCTGAGCAGGCACCACACGCAGGGCTGTGAACGCTACTAGTCCAGGGGCTCAGCACGTTAAGTCAAGCCACTTCTGGCCTGAAAGCCAGCGCTTCTCAGGAGAAGCTTGTAGCCAGCTGCCCTGCACTTTGTCCTGGCCAAGACTCACCCTCCTAACAGATCTTCTGACTCCTTCATGACCCCTTCCCAGAGGTGGGAGACAACCTTTTCAAAGAAGAGTTTGTGATGATTTCCATACGAGTCTGAAGTGCATGCAGAAGCCACAGTTTCCCACCCATGTTCATATGTACAATTCAGTAATTTTTTAGTACATTTATTGAGCTATGCAGCTATTACCACAATCCAATTTTAGAACAGTGTCATCTCCCACCAAGATCCCTCATGTCTGTTTACTGTGCCCATTCCCACCACCAGCCCCAGGTTAGTGTGTGTTCTGAGTGCCCTGCCCTTCCCTCAAGGCCCATGTCTTCAATTTATCTGCCAGCATACACTGCACAGAGTGCTTAGCTACATGGTTCCTGGTAAGAAACGATGCCTGTGCTATTAGCGGTTTTGCAGAGGTGGGACTCAAGTGCGTACGGACGTGCACACACACTTGCCACCAACTAGGAAACCAATGTAGACACAGTACCTTCCCATCCAGCCACCAGGGAGAAGTCCAACACTGCTCCACAATGCTTTCAACCCCGCTATCATAGGTATGGTCATGGCTTCCAAAGGCTGCAGGAAATTTGGCTATTATTCTTCACAACATACATCTTTTTTAGAAATCAGTATCATTCAGACATTTAAACTGGGGATCCTGCCAGTGCTTCTTGAAGAGGGTACCCATGAATTCAGAGGTAAAAAATCCTAAGAAGATCAAGGAACTGTAGAAAATAACTATAATCAAACAGCTTCTGGAAAGCCAGTTACACCACTCACCCGGTATATTCTTAAGGGCAAAGTGTAAAACGTAGTCCTAGAAATAGATGGGAAGAGAATCAGAGAAGCATTTCTAAATTTGCTCCTCTGCAGCATGTGTCAGAAACTGGTGCCCACCGTCTGTTGCTTTGCCAGCATGTTGCTTACTGTGGCTAGATAAATGTTTTCCCATAGGAGGAATCGTGCACCCCATCAGGTAAGTCCACGCAATGGGTATCAGAGAATGCGACACACTAATGGTCATTCTGAGAGGTGGACCAGGACTCTGATGCCCGTGCACTGAGAAAACTAGCACGGGCTATTGTGCTTCCATCATGAGGACCAGGCTGATAATAACATCATGCTGTAGCCAACATCCCTGAACTATATTTTCATGTAAATAGTACCCACCCTTTTCTTTCATCATTTTTGTTTCATTGATTAAAAGACAGTAGCAAAAAATGGGTTCATATGTACAAATAGCAACACTGCTTAACTTTTCAGAAATGAAAAAAAAATGGGCAGTATCTTCTATAGGAAAGGGCTTTTCCACTGAAGAAAGTTGGAAAAATTCCATACTAGTTTAGCACAGTTGCTAAAGATTCTGTTTCATATGAACATCGTATTTTCCCATTTTTTTCTCTGATTTTACCCACAATGAAAGAAAATGCACTGTCACAAAAATGCATAAAACATTGGCTGGGTTTGCACAAAAAGAATCTTCCTAAGGAAAAGGTAGAATAAAAAGAACATTTTAAGTCCCTATAGAGTGTTCTGAAGCGTAAGACACAGACATTTTAAATGCATGAAGTCTCATCGTCCCTTTCCCACCCCTGTAACAGAGCTCATGTAACTGTATTTTCTATTTTTGAAAAGAAGAAAAATATAATGAGAACTTTAAATCAATACAGGGGAACACAGAGGGATTATTTAACATACTTTTAAGTTTCTATTTCCACAGCCATTCAAATTAGACAAATGCCTGTGACAAGGGGGACCATAAAATCATGGTGGAAAGAAGTGACTGATACAAAATGTAGATTTCTGCTTAGACAGGATCATAAGTAAATCAAATTGAAGTGATTTCCACTCTGGCTCCTAAGAATGGAAGCCTCAAAAGCCAACGTCTAGAATCAATTTACCCAATTTGCGCATTACCTTAACTGAATTTCAAGAAGGATCTAATGCCCATATTTGAATTAACAGGCAGGAAATTAAAACTGGATCGCTAACTGGTGCTTTGCTGCACTGAAAAAACACACCCTCATCTGCCTTACAATGCCGGCAACACAACACTAAGGCATTAAACAAAAGGGAATAGAATCCAGCTGTGAAAGCTGTTTGTGTCAGTCTGGGGATAATTAACCCAATGGGAAGATATACACAGCAGAGATAAACCATCAGCATTAATGTACATACAGTAATACAGATCAAGGGCAACCGAACAACTGAGATGACCAACATCAGGCCATGAGCATGCTTCCCAACGCTATAAGCAGGAGAAATTGAGCCTCTGACACAAAGACTGGAAATGTGCTTCCACTATACCCTGTGCACTTTAGGAAAGCAGGCTCTATACAGAATCAGCTGGCACCTTGTGGCGCTTATCAACATAAATGGCACTGATGTCTTACACCAGACCTTCACGCAACCATTACTTCAGAAAGGACTCTTCTTCAGAAAGGAAGTCATTTCTTTGTGTTTCACCTTAAAATAAAAGGAACTGATTCCATAATGTGGTCAACTTCCCACTAAATAACCACCCACCACAATGATTTCCACACTCAAGTAAGCAGTAACTCAAAAGCTCCTCAAATATTGAGAAGCAGCTGAATTCCAACATGTATTACTACAGAGAGTGAAATTCTTTATCAAGAATATCAAGGCAATCAATTACTGTCCTGAGGGACTTGTCACTTACTTGTTACATAATCAAACCTCTTTACCTGCTCCAGAATATTGATTAGTTCACGTTCTACCTATCACCTGACTGACCCTCCCAGTGTCAAAACCCTGGGTCCTAGGTGTGCCTATTTTGAAAGTTCTTGCAGGAACTTCCAGTTGCAGCACAAGGAGGAGTTTACAACCATAATGTTTTCCATACTGGCAAACAAGATATATCATATCCTAAAGGCTTCCCAACAGTCAGCCTGTTACAAAATTATAGCATTTGCCTTAAAATTAACACACTGAAATGCCATCGAAGCAATGTCAGCGAACAATGACAGCAGCACAACAGAAAAGAACTTGGGAAACCCTCTGCCCTCTCATTTTCAGGACTTGCATCTGCTCCCACTCAGCAGAACAGAACTGAGACTCACACATTTTCTTTGTCTTCCAAAAATAGCCAGCACTGTGAAGAGAGGGAAAGAGAATGAAGACCAGATGCCTACCTTCGCTAGTAGCCACATTCTTCTGGGCTTGGGTGGGCGTGTGATCTGTACTGGAACTCACGTCGGATGAGATGCTTGAGCTGCCTTTGCCTAGAGAAACAGGAATGAGCAGGTTTTGAGTTTTGTCATTTCAGAACTGCACCATGCCTTCCACTCTGTCCCATACCAAAGCCATATTGCTTGCTTCCAAGAAAAGAAGCCATACTACCAGAATGGAGTTTATTAGGTGTCTTGCTTTATGCATTAAATATCTGACCCACGTTAGAGTAGAACTAAGACCCTAATATAATACGGCTGGACTATTAACTTAGACACGATTAGAAAACATATGATAACTGAATCTCATTTTGGCATACAAGGGGATAAGAAAGTACATGTGGGAAAGACATTGGCCATATTAGTTTTTTATTTGCAACTGTATCATATACATTTCCTCAGAAAGGACAAAAGCAAATTTAAAAATGAGGCATTACCCAAGGAAATGAGCCTACTGGCTCCAAAGAGCTGTATAACCTTAAAAAACAAATTCCCTGATTTAATAGGTGTTCTTTAAAAACCATAACAAAGCAAAGAAAAAAACTACCTTTTTCTAATGCAGTATTTCTCAACTGGGGGTGATTTTTCCCCCAAGGGGACATTTGGCAAAGTCTGGTATCATTTTTAGCTGTCACAACTGGTAAGGGATTGCTGCTGACATTCAGTAGAGGCCAGGGGTGCTGCAGAACACACGACAATGCACAGGACAGGACCCCCCCGACAAGAATTACCCAACCCAGAATTATCCAGGCCCAAACGTTCACAGGGCCAAGGCTGAGAAAACTGGTCTGAAAGATACTACCTTGGCGAAAAGCTGAGTTTCTACTCTTCTCACTTTTAATATGAACATACACATTAATATTGCTAACGTTCTCCAAACGTCACAGAAGAGTCTACAAATATGATCCATGCTCACTGCCTTGGGAGGAAAGTGTCCATGGCCGTGATGAGTAGAATTCTAAGAGGGTGAATTAACTTTTCAGAACCGCTGTAGACTGTGTCCCCTCAAATTCATATCTTAAAACGTAATCCTCAGTGTAATTGTATTAGGGGTGATTAGCCTATGGTAGGGGATTAGCTCATAAGGGTGGAGTGCTCAAGAATGGAATGAGAGCCCTTACAGAAGAGACCCCACAGAACTCCTCTGCCCCTTCCACCATTCAGGGACACAGGGAAGACACAATAGTCTATGAACTAGAAATCTCACCTTGATCTTGGACTTTTCAGCCCCTAGCACTGTTGACAATTTCTGTTGCTATAAGCCTCCCAGATCTGTGGTATTTTGTTGCAGCAGCCTGAACAGGCTAAGTCACCATCCAAGCCCTTGGTAATCTGTTCCCTTTGAGTGTGGGCAGAACCTATAACTCACCTTGAAGCAAAACATGGCAACGGTGGGGAACGTTGCAGAACTCTCTAATGAGCTGACTTTCATCAAAAGGGAGATTATCTTGGCTGGACCTGACCTAAATAAGTACCTTTCAAGAGTCTAGGGGACAAAGACCCTTCTGGCTGGCCTTGAAGAAGCAAGTCACCTTGAGTTCTACATTTTGGAAAGCAGTGAATCTGCCCAACACCCATGAGAGCAGGGAAGAGGACCCAAACCTCTGCTGAGAGCAAGCCAGGGCCAACAGCTTGGTTAGAGTTCTGAAACCCTTAACAAAACCCCCAGCTCAGGCATGCCCAGAATGCTGACCCAGGAACCTGTAAGGTAAGAAAGGTGCCTTGGGATAGGTGCTGCTGAACCTGCGGCAATCTTTTATGTGGCAAGAGAAAGCTAATCAACCAATCCTATCACAAATGAACTCTTTCTGCTCTGCAAGTTATGATGCAGCTGAAAAACACTTCTGTCTACCCAATGGGTTTCATCCCAGTACAAGTTCACTATGGATTAAGACTGAAAAATTACAATAGAACACTTTTGAGGTGAAAGGGTTTATACCCAACTTTATCCCCGCAGTGGCAGGTCAATCACTAGAAATCCATCCACTCAGAGCGAGTCTGCAGGCAGCAAACCGGTCTCTGCCTCTGGGCCTTTCTGCCCCTGCAGCCATCTCAGTCTCTGTCCTTGGAGCTGCCACCACTCTAGTCTCTGCTCTCCTGCAGCCGTGCAGCAGCTGTGCCACCATGTCACCCAGAGCACTGGGTGGAGCTGTTCATATAGAGTCAATAATAGAGTCAATAATAACATATTGCCCACACATGTTAGTGAGCAAGCCAAGCAGGGCCAGGTGATAATCCTGGCCACAGGAACCTTCACTTCATTCACACTCCACCCCTCCAGGATTTTCGCCTCAATCTACGTGCCCTCAATCTTCCACAATGATCCCTGTGCGAGGAAGCTGGAACACTATAACCGAATTCCATAGTAATAGTAACAACAGAGGCTATGACAATATACAAATAACAAAAATTACAACAAATTATAATAACCCTCAAGCTTGAGGAGTTCCATTGCCACCCACCAAGTGGTCATCCTGGCTGTATTCAAACCAGTTCTACTCAAATGAGTTAACCAAAGGACCATAGGTGGGCCTTACAATACCCACCTCTTCCAGCCTCTCCAGAAGAAAGTCTTGCAGACACGCAGGCCAGTCTTGTCACTTTGTCTCTGGCCTCTGCTTCTTTGTCCTCAGTGACCAGAGCCACTGCTCCAGTCTCAGTTCTTGCCACAGCTCCAGTAAGAGTCTGTTTGACTTTCCATCCAATTTCTTTCTGTCTGCTCCTGCCTTTATCAAATCAACCCACATCTGGGTCCTCGTGACCTTCACTGAGCCCTTTAAATTCTTCCTTGGAGGAGCAGACGGCATTTCCTTTTGTGCTTTTATTGCTTGAGCCTGGAGACAGGAGCAGAGCATAGAGTTCTCCATCCCCTGGGGAGGAGGCTGCACCTCTCCTGGAGGAAACCGCAGTTGCCAAGCCTTTTTCTTTTGGGTTTTCCACCAGCTTTCATCTGGGTGGGGTTTCAACCAAGGAGAGGCTGATGCCTCTGGCACTGGCCGGTCCTACACCCCCACCTTTTCGTCAAACCTCCTCTCCTCCATTTCTGGGGCTGACGGCTCCACTACATCTTTCACCTGCCCTATGGCATGTGGCAGCCTGCACTCTCGTGCTGCTGCTTCTCAGGCTGCTGCTCCTTCTCGTGCTGCTTCCTCTTGAGCCACCACATTCTTTACCATTTCCACAGCACCTCGTAGTGATGCCATTTCAGTCATCAACAAGTTTTTTACCTCCTCAATGGCACCTCACAGCTCACACTCTCGTGCTGCCTCCTCTCGTGCTTTTTGCAGGAAGACGTCTTTTTCCCTTATGGCCTTCCTCAATATTGTGAAAAAAAAAAACTCCCCACTGTTTCTGCTGCTCATGGGCACTCTGTTTCTCTAAGGAATTCCCTATTTTGCTGAGGGCCAACTTTACTGTCTCATGTACTGCCTCCACCCCTTCCCAGTCTTGGGGTGGGGCCCAGTCCTCCAGGAGGCAGGCCACATTGAACCACATGTCCACTGGAGGACACTCGAATGTCTCCCCATCCATAGAGGCAGCCTGTGGAAACACTCCTTCCATGAGGGCAGCCTGTTCTGTTCCTCGGTCAACCATGACTCCTGCTAACTGTTGCCAACTGTCTTGCCAATGGGTTTCAGCCCTGGGCAAGTTCACTATGGATTCAGTGAGAAGAAGGCATGACAATGGACTGCTCTTGGGGTGAAAGGGTTTATACCCAACTTCATTCCCACGGTGGCAGGTCAATCACTAGAATGAGTCTGCATGCAGCAAGCCAGTCTCTGCCTCTGGGCCTCACCATCCCCACAGCCGTCTCAGTCTCTGTCCTTGATGCTGCCACCACTCCAGTCTCTGCTCTCCTGCAGCCTTGCAGCCCAGAGCACTGATTGGAGCTCTCTATATAGAGTCAATAACAATGTATTGCTCACATGTGCATAGTGAGTTAGCCGACCAGGGCCAGGTGAGAATCCTGCCCACAGGAACCTTCACTTTATCCACAACTTCCCCATCAGTCTTCCTTGTGCAGCGGTATGTACCCCAATTAGGTGAAGTGAGCTTGCAGTCTAAATAAAGAGTAGAAAAGCGCTAATGGGCCAAGATGCCTTATAAGGAGCTTCAGTGATTGGTTTGTAGATGTGGTGAGTAATGGAACAATCCAAGTTTGTGGGGGGCAGCACCTGAGCAGGGAAGGCAAATGGCTATTTGCTTCCTCTCACCACTGACCATTCGCACCTGCTCCCTCAGAGTTAGCTGGGACAGTGCAGTCAGTCTCCATTCATTTGCACCTGGCCCACCTTCACAGCCTGGCAGGGAACTACCTCATGCTGTTCCCCTTCAGAAGGGGTTGACATGGTGGACCAGGCAACTAGTTAGAAGCACGTCAACCTGGGCTCTGACCTCAGTCTGCTGCTCCCTTGCTTTTTGACCCTGGACATTCGCTTTTCTGCTGAGAAGCTCAGTGTCCACCTATGGCAGGGGAGATGGCTGGACACAGTGACTCTTAGCAGCTCAAAGTGTCCAATTCTGAGTCCATTACAGTACTCCTCAAGGCTGAGTAATGCAAACATACCATTTAATATGGCACAAAGCATTATTTTGCACCAGTAATACACAGACTTTTATTAGTTTTAGTATATTATTACTTAGTAATGCACAAATGGAATAAAAGAAATAAACTTCACATGCTTCAACTCCACCTGGTCAAGAATAAGATGAAAACAAAATAACAAATTGTACACAGAAACAATAAAGCCCACAAAAATTCAAATTAACAGCACTAATTTAATGTGGTAGATCATGCTATTTTGCCGAGATTAAATTGCCTTTCAAAACATAAATACAGTACCAGCTGCCAAAGCCAATGTCCCAGTTTGGGCATGTCTGTGGTACCCTGGCCCTGTGAGGACTCAGCCTGCCCACCAGCTTCCTCCTATAACAGGATGACATACTATTTGGCCTTCACTTGGTCTGACTTTTTAAAGTCTGTTCTTCTTATTCATTATCATTCAAGTTTTCTGAGGCTTCTCTTCTTTTATTCTTTATCAGCCCATAACCAT